CCCAGACTGTCCCCTAGCCCTGACTCTCTCCAGGGCATAAATTCCCCTGCACCTCTCTCCCTTGACAGCCCCCCACACATACCCCCACTGTCAGGAGGAGTAGCAGGCAGCCTCAGCTGGCATTTGTAGTCCTCCCAAAACAAGTCCCCTTGTTCACCCTTTACCAGCCCAGGCCAGACCTGGTTTAATTTCCAGGCCACCTAGTGGGCAAAAAGTAGAAGCACCCAGGTCACAGAATCAGAATTAGAAAAAACAGACTGCTACTTACCTGAGCCAGTTCTGAGGTTTCATGTTGACTGATACTGTCAGTGATTCTCCTTTCTCCAGCCCTCAGCAGTGTCGCTCTGGGAGCCCAGCCTCTGTCCCTTCTGTGTCCCACCTGAAACCATGAATCTTGTTCTCTACCCTCATCAGCCAGAGTCCTGTGGTCTCCTCTTACCCTGGCCCTCCCCAGCCTCTGCTTTTCTCTCTTCAAACGTATGCCCTCCTCCTTTTTTTTCATTTTCAAAAACCTTGAGGCCAGGAAGAGAGTATAATAATGGCTACCAAGCTGACCCATGTGGCAGGCCCAATGCTGAGTGCTTTACATCATTATTTAATTTTCACAGCAGCCCTGGGAGATAGGTACAGTCCTCGTTTTAGAGATGAGAGAACTGAGTCACAGAGAGGGCTAATAATTTGCTTTAGTTTATGCAGTTTCATAGGTAGCCATGTCCATGCTCGTAACTACTGTGCTCTCCACGGGCAGGAGGAAGGCAGGTTTGGTAGGTTGTGTGGAAGCCAGAGAGTTCCATGGCTCATTCAGGGTACTTCCACAGGGTGCCTCTGGATAGGAATAAACTATATCCCATTTCTCCATCTTGGAGGGATTTAGGAAGAACTGTTCTCCAGCCTCCTTTCCAGAACTTCACCTGAGCCTCATGTGCCTCACCCCACAGGGCCCAGCTTTGGGATGAGCAGTGCTGGGCCTGGCTTCCCCCAGACAGTGCCACCCACCGGGGCCTTTGCCAGCACCTTTCCACCATCGATGTTCCCCACACAGACCTCAGTGACTCAGCAGCAGAATGGTAAGGGATTCAGACCTCACCCCCTTTCTTACCCCTATTCCTCACCCCCAGGGACTCTGTGTGTGTTTATGAAGGAATGTTAGGGAGCTAGACATCTGAGCTAGTTCCCTTTTGGACCAGTAGCAGGAACCAGGGAAGCAACAGCGTTGCCTGTGTCCTCTGACTCAGCTCCATTATTCCCTACTGTAAGAAAGCAGGCAGGCCTCCTCTTGCTGCCCGCCTGGGGAGGTTGCTGTGCCTGCCCTGCAGGGAGGTGGGCAAGCTGGTCAGCACCAGCACAAGGGGCAGGCTCATGGCAGCTGAATGTTCGCTCTTGGTTCCCAGGCTCTTCCTTCAGCAACTTAGGATCAGCCAAGCTGGGGCAGAGGCCACTGAGCCAGCCAGCGGGGATCTCCACCAACCCCTTCATGGTGAGTGCCCTTGTGTGGGCATGTGTGGGGTGTGGCCTTTCACTCTGGGGGTTGGGGACAGAATCCTTCCAGGAGAAGAGGGCGAAGTGGGGTGGAACTGATGCCCCTTTCTCTGAAGTTCTGCCTGGTCTATGCCGGGGAGGAGGGGGCTAGGTAATGGGCCTCAGCTCTTCCTGGCCCTGTCACCTCCACACTGCCCGCCCCCTCCACTGGCCTCTTAGCTCCCTCACTTTCCCACTGACCTCAACTCAGTAATTTTGAGGGAGAAAGGAATCCTGAACTGCATTTCTTCTGTGGCCTCCAGCTTTTCTCCACTAATCTAACAATTTGTGGTGGTTGTTGTTTCTTTCCAGACTGGATCCTCATCAAGCCCTTTTGCCTCCAAACCTCCGACCACCAACCCATTCTTGTAGCAGTGTGTCCTGGGGGGGGCCCTGTCCCTGCTCTCTGGGGCCCCTCTGCTGCCTGGAGCGCTGGTGACCACTTGACTGTGGCATTTCTGTGGGTCTGAGACCAGAATGGGCCTTGTTTTGCAGGGTGGGTGTCTTGGGGATGGTAGAGGTCCTGATGCTTTGCTTGGGGCTTGCAGATAAAAGGGCAGCTTCCCAGGTCAGCTGCCCCCAAGGCTTCCTCCCTTCCTCCCTCCAGCCCCCACCCAGGCAGGAGGCCCAGGAGGAGAGAAGGCGGGGCCTGGCCTAGAGGAGTGATGGTGTTTTATTTCTCAAATTATTCATTATGATGACAATAATCCTCCTCCTCTCCTGCCTTCAGCATACACAGCGCTCCCTTCACTCCCAGCCCTGTGGGCAGAGGAAGCTGTGGGCACAGACTGACCCGGTTGCCCCGTGGGAACAACTCTTCCCCCATGCCCAGCTTTCCAGCGCTGTTCTCCTCGTGGACAGAAGCACACTGGGAAAGTAGGGTAGAGGTGGAGATGAGGCGTGGTGTTGCCATAAGGGCCCCGGGGGCCAGAGTGCCCTTGGGGCCTGGCTTGGGCCAACACATCCTTTTCTCCCCACCCCCGCTGGAAAGGAGGCCCTCCATGGCTATGCTTCCCCAGCTCCCTTCCTCATCCTGGGCACTCAGGATGAATAGTTTTACCGACTTACTTAGACATGCCCAACTCCTGTCAAGCACTTTAGTTAGCCGTGGTGTCATGTTTGGATACCAGTGTTTTATATTTATACATAGAATTTTCTAATATAGCCTATTATATATATACACACACACACACACATACACACATAGAGAACTATATACACACATGCAGCCATTCTTCCGCTCCCAGACAGTACTTTTACGTGGGGAATGGGACAAACCCCCATCTGTGCCTCCACCAGCAAAGCCAGAGCTCCAGGGGGTGGGGGGGAGGGCAGTCACATGTCCTGTCCACCCCAGAGCCTGGGCTTTTCCAGGGAAAGGCTTTGTGCAATTGGCTGGTTTTTTTCTTTTTTCCACGTGCCTCCCCCGCCCCCAATCGCTGCACCAAAGCTGTTGCTGGCAATGTTGGAAAAGAACTGCGTTTGAAAGAAAAAGAAAATGGCTCTCGTGGTCTTGCTTTGGGCCTGCTTCAGGGGCCTCATGTCAGTCAATATGACTGCCTAGGTCAGTGACAATGCTGCCTGGCCAAAGACAGGACTGGTTGCTGGACAGAGCCAGTCCATGTCTGAACTGGAGTCCGGTGTCAGCGATGGGAGGAAGCACGGAGGGAGTTAAGTGGCTATGGCGGGGGAGTCGATTCCCACCGGGGCTGGGGTGGACAAGGGAGGAGGTGCCAGTGCGGAGACGGGAGTGGGCCTAATCCGAGTAGAGCTCCCCCTCTCCTGGGTTGGGGGCATTCTCAGCCCCTCCCCAGACTTTCCACCTGAGGATGTTGTGTCAACAGTAGTGGTACCTGCAGTGTTTGTGTGGTGACAAGACAGACGGCTTGGGTTAAACACCTCGCCTGGTGGAGGAGAGGCTCAGCCTTGCTGTCAGGAGAGCTTCCTCCCTTCTTCACTGTTGCCCAGGATCTCTGGCCCTTCAGCTATTCATTCTTTTTTTTTTTTTTTTTTAATAATTTTATTTATTTATTTTTCCCCCAAAGCCCCAGTAGATAGTTGTATGTCATAGCTGCACATCCTTCCAGTTGCTGTATGTAGGACGCAGCCTCAGCATGGCCAGAGAAGCTGTGCGTCGGTGCGCGCCCGGGATCTGAACCCAGGCCGCCAGCAGCAGAGGGCGCGCACTTAACCGCTAAACCACAGGGCCGGCCCCAGCTGTTCATTCTTGAGATTTCTCTGGGTCTTTCCACCCCACGTCCTTTAACTGCATAACAGCAAGGGGGGGGAGGGGGGACTGTTATCACCTTATTTACTTTGAGGATTTTTCTGGAAATACCTCCAGCTGCTACTATTTGCCCAGCCAGGAATAGCCTCACCACCTTTCCAAGCTCAGTACCCATCCCGTCTTGTGTCTGTTCCCGTTCTCCCAGCTTCTACCCTCCTCCCATCTCCGGGTTGATCTCCCAGGGTGGACCACCATCCTTTTCTTCCAGGTTTTCATGTTCTGTCTGCTTGTCCCAGTATTTTTCTGTCACCCTTGTCTCTCTGTCCTTCTTCCTATCTCTGTTTCCCATTCTCTCTGCTTAGAGCCAGGGAGGGAGGGAAGCTGAAATCTGCTGTAGTAGAGAAGGAGGAGCCTTGTCTTCTTTTTCCCTAGCCCTCCCCCCACTTTCCTGGCCCACATGCTGAGGTTCAGAGGTGAGACTAAAGGCCCAGGAGCTGCAGCGCCTTTTCCTGCGTTTCAGTCACACTCCTCCTGTTTCCCAGGGCTCTCCTTATTGCTAGCTGCCTGGGCCCAGGACCCAGGACCTCCCTGCATTCCCCGCCCCACCCCCACCTCCTAGTCACTCTGTCCAACATGGACTCCAGCCCACTCACTGGCCAGAGCGGGAGGACGGACCAGTCAGAGAAGTTACGCAGGGTCAGCCTCCGACCCCAGGGCAGAAAAACCAAGAGTTCCCTGGGCACAGACCGAGACTGGGACTGCAGCTACCTCTCCCGGCATGGAACAGCCATAGTGCCGCCGCCGAAGGGCCTCCTCTCTCCAGGCAAGAGGCAAAGAATGGAAAAATCCCTGGCCTGACAGAAAATGTCTCAGCAACTGGGCTGTGTTCCTCCCGCCCCACCCCCTGCACGGCCCTGCCTGGCGGTTACAAATCTGAACCCCCCACACACCCACCATGGGGCTGGAGGACTCACCCAGGCTCCCACCAGGCTTCTGACCGAGTCCTCATGTTCCCCTGGCGAATGCTGTGACCACGCTCTGCAGACAACAGTGTCTGGCCTGGCCCCAGCCTTCAGCAGGTCACCTGTGGCTGGCTGTCCCTGTGGGTGAGGAAGCAGGAGCCAGTCCCCAGGACCTCTGTGAAGCACTCTGTTCTCTCCACATTGGAGCCTGGGCCATGGTGGGGGAGGGCTGAAGGAAGGGGCTGGGGGGGCATGCGGGAACAGCCTGGCCTTAGTACCCCAGCCTCCTCCCTGTAAGGTCCTCTCCCTGGTAACTAGATTCTTCCATAGGGGCTTAGAATGTGGAGATCCCATCCCACGGCTGCCTGCACCTGGCAGGGGGATGCACAGGTGGACTCCTCAGGTTGGGGGAGATGTTCTCACCCAGCCAAGCTGAGGTTCTGCCACTTCCTGTTTCTGGGGAGCAACTCCAGTTACCAGGGCAACAGGCTAAAATAAGTCTTGTCTGGGTAGGGCCAAGGGCAGTGTCTGTCATTGCTAGGGCAACTGATGAGGCCCATTGTTTGGCTCCAGGCTTTTCCTGGTACCCAGCATGCTAAATCACCTGGCATTGATTACCAGCCCACTCCACCACTGACTATTGCTTGCCCAGAACCTGGCACTCAGATCCCTGCTGCTTCCTGCTTTATCGTTACTCAGCACTTAGGGGCTCATTGACTCAAGATGGTCCACAGCTGGTCTCTGTGACAGCAGCTGTGATTTCACAAGGACTGGGGTGCGATAAGGTGGCCTGGTTGATGGGAAGCGGGAAGGAGTAGGTAAGAGATCCTCCTGTGGGTAGCTTCAGATCAAGCCTGGGGAGTAAGGCTGCAGGCCAGGAGCACAGCAGGTCTGGGGCCCTGTGGGTGCCCTGCTCCTTGAGGCAGCATCAAGGCTGGGAAGGTCTTTTTGTGTCCCCGCCACTTCACACATGGTGCATATGTCAAGGCCACACTGGAGGCTATGGCCTTGAACATACTTCTATTTTGGTGGCCACTTACGGATCGATCCATCACATACCTGCCTCTCCCTGGCCAACACCCACCAATGGTGGTGGCTGCCACTGGCCCCAGTGCACCACCTGAGCACCAGCACCTCTCCTGTACTTTGGGGGGACTTTGGCTGACCAGGAGTCACCTGGAATAGGCCCTGGGCACTGCCTGCCTGCTAGCCAGATGCCCATCCTCACTGGTTGGCTCCCTGCATCTCACTCTCAACATGACCCTTGAAAAGATGTTCGAGGATCCTAGCTCCCACGCACACGGCACCGCTGGCTTCTGCAGTATTCCAGCTCACAGACAAGCCCCCTCCTCCCAGGCCTGGGAAGTGGAGGAGCGCAGGTAGGAAGCTCTGGCCCTTGGACTAGTCTGAGAAAAGAGGCAGCTTCCCTTGCTTCAGGGCTCTTGTTCTAGCTCCTTCCTTACCTAACGGCTCTCTATCTTTAATAGGGGTCACAGTTGCCCTCATCCCCTCTGTGACCCTCAGCTCCCTCATGGAGATACCACATGGTATCTTACTTGCCATGAGAGTGATGTCACAAGGCCCTCTAAGGTCCCACCCATATGTCAACTGCTGGTTTGTCTTGCAGAGTGTGCACTGACCAGCACCATCACCCCCAATGTGAGTCAGGGGTCCTTGCAAGGATGAGAAGTGGGGTGTAAAATGTCTGAATCCCAACCCCATCTCAAACCTCAGGATGCAAGGGGCAAAGGGTACCTCCAACCAGAGAGTCTGCACTCCTGTGATCAGAGCCTTTGGCTGGCCCACGGTGGCATTTTTGGACAGTGGTGGTGAAGAGGGGCTGAAGGCAATGGGGCAGCAAGAGGGACGTGCCCCTGAGAGATGGTCTCTTCTTCCACAGGATCTCCTTCAGTGGCCACTTGACTGGGATTCTGGTGGGTATGGTCTGTGCACAGGGACCAATCCAGAAGTTAACTTATCCCAAGACACGTCCTATCGCCCCAAACCCACAGAGAAACTGAACCTCCAGCTCCTCTGAAATCAGCACAGCCCTATGCTTGAGGGGCTTGGCTCCTAGGATTACTTGGGAAGGAAGAGTACAGAACCAATCCTGGGTGGGAAGAGGGGGACACAGGCGTTGGACGCCTAGAGCCCAAGTGGGGAGTGGCGGGAGCTGGAAGGGGGTGCTGCTGGAGGGGTGGCCCGGCTTAGCCTCCCACTAATCGCCAGGACTGAGGACGCCGCCAGTGCGGTCACCGCGGACACAGTGCCATTCACATTATTCACATTCGCCTCACATCGTCGCCTTCTTGGCAGTCAGCTCAGAGCGGTGGAAACGCCCCCACACTCCCCGCCCCTGCAAAAGCCCAGTCCGAAGGGGTAGGGTCGGGTGGAGGCCGCCTCTCCTAGACTTCCCAGCTCAAACTCCACTCCCACGGCCTGGCGTACACAGCCCGGGGCGCGCGAGGGTTAACCTCGCGGGGGTGGGGACTCCAGAGCGGTCGGGTCGGGTCGACTGAGCGAGGGAGGGGAGAGGAGGCGACAGGAGGCGCACGGAGCCGGCCGGGGTTGAGCCTCGGAGGCCGTTGGAGCCCCGCGTGTCGCAGGCCACCGAGCAGCCACTGGGAAACACGCTGCACCCAGCGAGGGGCCACTGCAAACCCCCTGCCCCAAACTTCAAGTCGGAAGCAGGGGAGAGACGCCTGTCAGGACGCCCCCGTCCCCGGGGACCACCACCTCTACCCCACGTCTGCGGGCGTTTTCCAGCCGTCTCTGCCCCTTCTCCGGCCACTTTATTGCCTTTGGCCGGGGATGAAGCCTGGAGGCGGTGGCCCCATGGCGACCCCGGAGTCCGAGTCAGCCGACGTGACCCTGGGTCCGCCGCCGCCCTGGGCCTGCCCGGCTGACGTGCATCTCTGCGGCCACCTGCGGAAGCAGAAGTCCCAGCGCCGCCGCTTCTTCGTGCTCCGCGCGGACCCGCCGCGCCTCGAGTGCTACGAGAGCGAGAAGAAGTTCCGCGCCGGCCGAGCGCCGCCCAAGCTCAGCGTGAATCTGGCGGGCGCGTGCACCATCAGCAAGCGCGTGGACGCGCGCCAGCGCCACCTGATCGTCCTCTACACGCGCGACCGCAGCCTGGGCGTGGCGGCGGCCAGCGAGGCGGAGCAGCAGGCGTGGTACAGCGCCCTGCTCCAGGCGCGCGCTGCCGCCGGTGAGGCCAGAGCCCTGGGCGGGAGGAGACGGGGCTGGGGGGCGGGGGTCGGATGATCGCAGAATCGGTTTATCCGTAGGCTCTCCCTCCCCCTAAGTCTCTGAATTCAAGTTCAAACATGAAGAGTTCACAGGTTTTCAGTTCTTGGGGCACAGTGACTCCAAGTTCCCGGCCCAGGAGCCCCTGTGACCAGCCCATTGTCTCTCCAGATCCCAGCTCCCAAGAGGACCCCGGGACCTGGATCCTCGCTCCGTTTCAGGACATCTGGCCCGTGACGCTGCGGCCCAAGGGGTTGGGGCGGACACGAGGCCTGGGCAGCGGGGGCTACTGCCTGTGCCTGGGTTCTGGGGTACTGAGCCTGCTGCGGAAGCCCAGGGGCAGAGGCTCCGAGGACACCCAGGCATGGCCGCCGCCGCCGGCCCTGCGCCTGTCCCTGCTCAGCGTGCGCCGCTGCGGCCACGCAGACTCTTTCTTCTTCCTGGAGCTTGGCCGCTCGGCGCCCACGGGTCCCGGGGAGCTGTGGCTACAGGCGCCCGACGGTGTTGTGGCCCAAAGCATTCACGAGACAGTCCTGGCCGCCATGAAGCGACTCGGGGCCGGTGGTGCCGGTGGTAGGGCTGAGCCACTGCCAAGGGATCCCCCGACGAGCGCCTCCAGGCCCTCTGTCCCCCAACCTTACGAGACCCCGGCCTCCGCGGCCCAATCAATCAGCCTGAGCCGTCCGGGGTGCCTGGGTGAGAGGAGCGAGCAAGCAACCCTCAACACCCTGGTGACGCTGGGGGCAGCAGCCTCGTACCGCGAGGGGTGGGAGCGAAGAGGGGGCTACATAACCATGGGAGCCGGGAGTGACTATGAGCCCATGGGGGGCGGCGAAGCAGGCGGCTACATGGTGATGGCGTCCCCAGGCCTGCCGGCCGCCGTCAACACCGCTCCCCGCCAGTCACTCCAGGATTGGGGGGCCACTGAATACGTGCCCATGAGCCGCTTTGCACCAGGGCCCTTTTCCTCGAGCTCCTTGCCCCGTTCCTACAAGTCCGGAACGGGAGAGCCTGGACCCGAGCTCCAAGTCCCCTGTCTCCGCGTCGGGGATGGATGGGGACCAGCGGGGGCTCATCCCTGCTTGCAGGCGCCTTCTGAGCTAGCCGGGGAGTACGTGTGCATCCAGTACGCGGCCCCGGGCTACGTAGGAATGGGCACTGCCATACCGGAGCCCCTCGACGGCCGCCTCAACTACGTCGACCTGGACTTGGTCCATCCTCTGCAGGCGCGAGGCGAGGCCCCCGGGGCCAGCACGCACCGCCAGCACAGCTACGCAAGCATCGAGTTCCAGAACCTCGGGGAGGCTCGGGTAAGGAAACCGCGGCGCCCCGCCCTGTCTAGCTGACGGATGGATGGGGAGGAAGGGAGAGAAAATCAGGCACAGTTACCAATGCCTTCTCGCCCATCCCCCTCAACCCTCCTCCCCGACACCCGTCCCCACCGCGGAAGGGCTCTAAGGCCCAGATGCCCCTTAGGATGTGTGACCCGTAGAGGCCCTGAGCTGCCCCTTAGGGCCGGCTGCCCACTCTGCCCCTTCCAGCTGTGGTGCCTGGGAAATTTCCAGGAGGAGGTTCCCCAAGAAGTTGAATTCTTTTAAGAGGGAAAATTCTACAACTCCCCCCACCAGCAATAAAACCCTACAAACTTCTGTGCTTTCTTAGCCAAAACCCTGATCCTCTCTGTTTGCCCGGCAGAGTTCCTGCAGCATCGCTCCAGAATCTCAGGTCAGCCTTGGCCCCCCACCCTGCCTCCGATGACGACTCTCACATGGATCTGCCCCTTGCCGCCACACACCTGCAGTGCCAGCCTTGTGTCTCCTCCCAGCCAAAGAACTAACCTCCAGCCCAAGAGGGATGAAAGCACCAGGTATCTTACCACTAGTGCCCCCCCAAAAGTGAGGTGCCACCCCCTTACTCCCTAGCTTGCCTCTCCCAGTGCCAGCCACGTGCTCACACAACCCTCCCTTCTCCCAGGCCCAGCAGAGCTCATGGAATACCCACTTCCCATATACTTAGTCTGAGGGACTGTACTCTGGACATCTCCCCCACCCCGACCCCTGCCCCACGATTAAAGGTTCCCTGCTTGGTCAGCCTGGAAAGGTCTTAGATTCATCGATTCCCCCACCCCAGTGTAGGGGCTGGCCAATGAGTAATAAAAATTTGTGGGGAGGGCAGCCAAAGCTGTGGTGGAGGAAGAGACCCCATCCCTGCCTCCAGGCCCCACTCTGCTACCTGCCACGAGGAGCCTGTTTGCAAACCAACACTGTTTTATTGTCAACAGAATCTGCCTGGGGGAATAGGGGGCCCACTCTGCCCCAGAGGGGCTATGGACAATGAGTGTCTGGGGTCCGTGGGAGAGATGAGTCAGCGCAGTGAGAACAACTCTGGCCACCACTGGGGCCTGGGTGGTCAGAGACAGGGTCCGGGGGGCCACCAGGGGGCGTGGGAGCCCCAGAGGAGATGGAGGAGCTAGGTCCCGGCTCCCCCTGGCTCATCTGCAGGAGGCCAGTGAGGGCGATCAGCTCAGGCCCGCTGAGCCAGGCAGTGGAGCAGCCAGGGGATGAGGTGGGGAGGACCCAAGGGGACATAATAGGGGGTGGGAGCAGCAGCTTCAGAGAGCCCATCACCTGAGGAGAGAGGAAGGGGAATGTCTCCTCCCAGGCCGGCAGTGAAGGCTGGGCTGAGGCCAGGGCAGGAAGAGCGCTCACCTGCTGAGAGGCCTCAGACAGGTACACGGGAACACGCTGCCCAGGGGGCAGCAGAGGGTCTGAAAGGAAGACATCTTCACAGCATATCACCTGGAACCCTGGGGAGGAGAAGCAGCTAGGGTGGCAGGCTGGGGGTTCCTACACCAGCAAGCTCTGCACTGTTCCCTGCGGGGCTCGTGCAGCATCACTGTAAAGCCTGAGGGGACCAAAGGACGTACCTGCATCCCCGGGCGCCTGCTCTCCATTCTGATGTCCTGTTGCAGGGGCCAGGGGTCTGAGGCTCCTGCCTGAAGCTGCCTCGTACAGCGGCCAGAATGAGGGATGACACAAGGTCCGGCCTGAGAAGGCAACGCCAGATGCACAGCTGGGCCCCTGAAGAGGGGCAGAAAAGATCACTGGGGCTTCAGCCCCCTCCCAAGGCATTCCTGCCTCACCCTAGGCCAGAGCCATAGGCACCCCTAACTCACCCACACCAGCCGAGGTCCTGCTTTAGCCTCGTAGTGGAGGTCCCAGGGTGCTAGCAGGGTCATTCTTGAGGGGGCCATGTCCCAGGCCATCTGGGGGGAAAGGGGCACTGGGGGGGAAACTTGAAGAGATTACGACAGGCTCAGGGTCGGTGAAAGGGTCTTGGGGGGTAAGAGCAGCAAGGTCCTGTACCTACCTGGGGTTCCCCGGGGCTGCTCAGCAGCCAGGCCTGTGAGACCCTGGGGCAGCAGCTGCTCTCTCTGGATCCAGGAAGGTCTTCGGGACAGGGCATGAGGGCTGGGCAAGGGAGGTACGGAGATGCTCCTGTCACTGCCACCCTCACTCACCTTCCCAGCTCCCAGTCTGAATACACCAAGGGCCAAGGGTGCCTGGTGCGGGAAGACTGATCACCCCCATTCTTGGTATGGACAATTGAGGTTTTCTCACACTGTGGCCCCACGTCGGATTTCCCCTACGTGCCTCGGGCCGAGCCCCTCACCTGTCCGGTGGGGGTGTTCCTGGCTCCCCAAGGGCTTCCTCTCCAGAGTCCCAGGCCTCGTCGGGGTCACTGCCTGCCCAGGGGCCTTCTTCCTGGGGTACCTGCTCCTCACCCGCGTCCCACCACGGAGGAGGCCAGGGCAACATGTCGCGTCTGGGGGGAGGGTAGGGCAGGGCCGCACCTCTGTGCCCCTCGCCCGCACCACCACCGGGCCTCCCGCCCGCCTCACCCCTCCTGGGGCCCCGCCGCAGCCCCCGCGGCCCACCCCCCTCCCTTGACGGGACGCCGCTGCCGCGAGCTCCGGACGTCGGCCCACCTCGCCAGGCCTCGTGGCGGCGCCGGCGCCCAGCGCGTTTCCGGGCCACGTGGCGCGCACTCCCTCCAGGATCCCGCGGGCGCCCCCGGGCGGCGGGGGTGGCGGGGCTCGCGCCGGCCCGACCGAGCAACGTGAATGTGGAGGCGCCCCGTTTCCCGAGGCGCCCCGCTCTCGTTCGCAGACACACACACACACCTGAGGGGCAACCTAGAGGGCTTCCGGCTTCTCTTTATTGCACTTGACACAACATCCGGCACCCCCGTCGTCCATCCCAGACCCTCAGCCACCTAGGAACGGCCAGCCACGCGCCTTGCGGGGGCGGCTTGCTTCCAAGCCCTCGGGCCGAAGGGTGCCCGAGGAACAGGGCCAGGCCCGAGGCCGCCCTCACCAGTCCTCGCTAGAGATCAGAGCCCAGGCGCATCCTTCTTCTCTGTTCCTGGGGTCTCGGCAGGGTGGGGGCCCTGAGCCCCTACCTCAACCCCTAAGACCGTTCCAGCAGTGCGTGGACGACAGCAGCGATGTAGGGGAGACCCCTTCCCGGGGCCCCCTCCTCTTCCAGGATGTGGTGGGGCTGGCACAGGGACTCCTGGGGGGAGGGGCCCAGGTTAAGTTCCCCTTGTCACCTTCCCCTCTCAGCTTCCCTGCTTGGCAGAGGGCAGGGTGGGAGACACCCTAAAGGAGCCTGGGCAAAGGGGCTGACAGGCTGGCCCTTCCAAGTGTAGGAGGCAAAGGTCAGGGGCACCCTGGACATGGCTTAGGGACAAATGAGATACAAGGAAGCTGCCAGCAGATAACAACAGAAAGGAGATGACACAAGGGGCCAAGGCTTCGGGGGGAGGAGAGACCTGTCATTTCCAGAGGGAAATGCTGGAGTTGGCAGGCTGGCACACAGAGCCCCAGGGCCATGGCCAGGGCTAGGCCTGGCCACAGCAGGAGCGGACGCAAACACACACACACAGAGGCAGCCACAGTCTGTACAATTTATACAAGAGACAGGGCCCCACCTGGGCCCCTGCATCCCCTACAAATATAGAGTTCTTTCTACAAAATATAGATAATTTAGCCCCCCATAGCACGGGGGGAGGGAAGGCTCAAGGAGGAAGGTTAAGGTCCGCCCCTCTGGGGGACAGAGAGCAGGGCAGGGAGAGGGCATGAAGGCACCATCAGCACCGAGAGGGGAGGGCCTACAGGAGGGCGGCCAGAGGCTGGGGGCCCAGGGTCTGGGGGCACCAGAGTGGGGCCTCTGAGGTCAGTGTTGGGAGGGGAGGGGGTTCACTAGTGTCTTTGGTAGGGGCTGAAGGCACCACTGGTGGGGACAGGGGTTGCACAGGAGTCTTATAAATAGAAATAGGGGGAGGGGGTGGGGGAGGGGTGACTTCAGGTCCTAGGAACCCAGGAGCCGAGTGTAGACGACATAGAGCAGCAGCATGAGGACCACGTAGAAGAGGATGAAGCCGCCCAGACCAGAGGGGGGCCAGAGGGGTGGGGGCGCCCTGCCCCCCACCCGCTTCACGGCCTCCAGGGTGGTCCACAGCCCCTGGGCGGTGCCCTGGAGGAGATCCGAGGGCGAGCACAGGTCAGCCTGGGAAAGGAGAGTAGGACAGATGGACAGGGACAAAGGACAGACGTCAGCAGCAGCAGCAAGACAATCCTTCCCACCCCCTGCCCTCATGCCAGGGCCAGAGCCACACCAACATGCAGAGTGCAAGGAAGGGAGGCATGCAGGGGAAGGTGACATGCAGCACAAGGGCCTGTGGACATGCTTCCTCCTGGGGAGCAGACGCCCCTTGAATGGAACCCTGCCATCCACGCAGAGTACTCAGCCGAGCCCAGGACGCCACCACTCTTTACAGGGGAGACCAGCCCTGGGCTCCTGAGAACACCCCCCTCATACCTCAGGCACCCCCATCTTTCGACAGGCTTCTAAGAAGCTCTCCACGTTCTTCCGAGACTTGAGGGTACTGAGTTTTGGCTGTGGGTGGGTAAGAAAGGAAAAAGAGAAGAGAGTAAGGGAGAGGCCATAGGAGTCCCCTGTCCCATCCGCTACTGCTGGCCCCGAGCCCCAACTGACCACAGCAGGCGAGGGCACATGAATGAAGGGCACGGAGCGGGGCCGCAGCTGGTTGGCCAGCTGGCAGAGGATGACGCCACTGGCCAGAGCCTCTGCCAGGTCCTCGGGCAGGGGCCGCTGCAGCCGTGACTCAAGGACCTGGGAGGCAAGGGAAGGAGCAGGGAGAGGTCAGGGTAAGCAGGAAACTCCCACCGGCCCCGTCTGTCCTCAGCAAGTTAGGCAAAGAGGGTGTGGAGGGAGGCCAGGGAACTCGAGGAGGCGCCATGCTGAGCCCAGGCCCTGCCCACACAGAGCCCACCTCTTACCTGGCGCAGCTGAGCCATCAGCTCCTTCTCATCCAGAAGCTGGGGGGATCGCCGAGGTCTCAAGACAGAGTCTGGTGAGGAAGGGCCTGGAGAAGAAGGAGGGTATGTGGGCTGTCTCACCATCGACTTGGTAGCTGGGTCACAGTGTCTGGCACCCACATCTCCTGCCTCTGTGCTTGTGGGATTTTTCAACACAAAGGGACAATTGACCAGAGAATTCACAGGCCAGAAGGGGTGCCTGCAGCCCAGGGGGTAGTGCTGGGTCAGCACTGGGTTAGTCCTGGGGAGGGGGAGGCCCACCTGAGCCACTCTGAGAGGAAGAACGGAAGAGGAAGCTGTTTGGTCTCTGAATGGAGCCCAGCGGCCGGGGAGCAGGCACTGTCGCTGGGGGCCAGAGCAGAGAGACATCCCCTCAGTGTCCCACTCTTCCCCTAGGCCACAGGGTCCCAACCACCCCCTCACCTCCACAGGCCCCCATCCTCTTCCCAAAGCCCCTGTCCCACCTGGTCCAGCTGTAGGAAGGGGCTCCTGGGAGGTGGGGGCAGGGGCTCCCTGCCCCCCTGAAGCCCCCGGTTGGGTGGCATTGGACTTGGGCGTGCCGCTGAGGAGAGACGGGAGGGAATGAGAGGACGGCCAGGGGAAGGGTGTGCGGGGAGAGGACTCAGGGAGGTGGAGTCTGGGAGGACACATACTTGTAGGTGGCCTGAGTGGACGAGGCGGCAGCACCTCCACCAGCAGCCCTGCCCCCCAGCTTCAGAAAACTAGAAGGCGAAGAAGAGGTGGGGTCAGTAATGGGAGGCAGGGGCCCTGCCAACCCCAAGGAGGTCATTTCCAGGCCCACCTGTCCTTCCTGGGGGCCCCCCACACTCCACTCTGCTGCTGCTGCTGCTGCTGCTGCCGCCGCTCACGCTCCTGCCACAGCTGCAAGGTGTCAGGGCGCCGCCGCTCCTCCCCTGCCAGCTCCTCCCGCCTGGGGGGCAGAGGCAGGATGAGAGGTAGAGCCGAGGTAGAGCCGGGGCAGGGGGCAGGGCGAAGGAGTAAAGGGAGGAGGTGCCGGCTCGGGTGGCTCTGGGGTACCTGCTGCTTGGTGCCCTCTCCCCATCCCCTGCCACGGGGCTTAATTCTGGTGGCCGCTGCTCCTGAAAAAAGAACAGCAGGGGGCTGAGGGAGTGCCTATCGCCTCATGGCAGACAGACATACAGACACAGGCTGGCCCCTCACCTCGGCAGCAGCACCTCGCTCTTCGTCCTCCCCAGGTACATGGCTGTCGATGAAGTCAATCTGCTCAGGGTCTCCGTCAGCTGCAGAGGTCAGGGCACGTCAGCAAGCAGATGGGGGCCTTCTCCCCAGCTCCCAGGCCCCTGCCCCCACTACTCACCAGAGCCATCCTCCCTCCGCTCCTTGGGCCCCCGAGGCTCCCGGGCCAGCTCCGAGATCCGGAACGACAACTCCGAAAATTCATCTGTTGACTGTAAATGCAGAAATGCAAAGATGGGAGACAGCCTCTCTGTAGTGCCATGGGCTTGTGGGGTTCAGGGCCTTGGGGTCTGCTGCCAAGCCAGCCCTTCTCCGAGATACTCAGGTAAGAAAAGGAAGAGGACAGCTCCAGCCACCACCTGTCACTCTGAGATTTAGAGGTAGCAGGCAAAGTGTCCTGGCTCAGAGGTTCTCCCCCAGGGCTGAGACCCCCAATGTCCCTTGGAAAGGAGGCCCTTACCTCATTTCCAGACCACCTCTTGCTGCCACTGTCAACGCTGTGAAAGCCTGAGTCCAGCCCACCATCGTACCGACGTCCCGAAAATAAGTCCTCAGCTGGGCTGGGGCCAGCCAGGGAGAGTTGGTCAGTCCTGTTCTGGACAGCAACCCCCTCAACCTCCCGCCGGAAACCATGGTGTCCCTGGTGCCAGAAGGGGTGTTAAGTATGCAGTGGCTTCCTTCCTTCCCACTTGGGACTTACCAGGGACTGAAACTCGGGGGGCGGGAAGGGGCCAGGTCCCCCAGTGCAGAGCCCCCACGCCGCCCAGCCTCTGTTGACAAATACTTGAAGATGTGAAGTTTCCCCTTCAGGCAGATCTAGGTGTGAGGAGGCACATGATGGCGAGTTAAGGGAAGGGAGGTGAGCTCCCAGGTCCTGCTTGGCTACCAAAGAGACCCACCGCCCAACTCCTGCCCATTCTCAGCCCTGTCCCCATAGTCTACCCCAGGCCCACCCTTCACCTGGGCAGGCGGGCTCTGCAAGGGGTTGCTGTCCAGCAGAATGACCTGCAGGTGCCTGAGGCGGCAGAAGGAGACCGGGATGCAGGAGACACGATTACAGGAGAAATCCAGGCGGACAAGAGGAAGGTCCCCCAGCTCTGGGGGTGGGTGAGGGAAGAGTCAGGAGCAGGCCCAAAGCTGGGGCCTTGTGCTCACTTTCTCTGCCCTCTGCTCTGGCCAGCCAGTCACCCCTGGGTCCACCACAGCCTCTGCCCTGGCTGGCTGAAGGCACTCCCCAGGAACAACCTCCCTGCTCCTCTTCCCTCTCAAATCTGGTCCACCCTC